AGGTTGCACGGGGGAAACTTTGGAGGAAGCCTCCATGCGGCATAGGTGTAGGTAAAAGGGGCCGGGATACGCTTTTAAATGCATCCATCCTCCCAAACCGGAAAACAGGGGGACAGCAGGACTGGAGGCCCAAAAATGTAAAGGCTTTCGCGCCCGATGGGGGGGGGGGGGTTCCGGGACAGGGGGGCACGCAGGCCCGGGAGGTTTTTCCTTTTTTTTCCTTAACCTCCCCCCCGTGGGATGTTGGGACGGGGGTTTTTTGCCCCAATCCATGCATGGAAAAAACGGGGGTTCCTGTTCAGGACCTCTTTTCCATTTTTTAAGGGGAAAGGGTTTGTTGGAAAATTTCGGATTTTACGGAAAACCCCCCCCCCCCCCCCCCCCCGTCCACGGCCAAGATTCTGTGTTCATGTTGGCATCTGTACGTGCAAGGTACATATTGGGAGTGCCCGCAGATTGCTTAACCGAGAAGAGCGAAATAAAAAAACATCCTTCGAATGTTAAAAGGTATTGTTGATGGGCACATGTTTCCACAAACACCCCAGAGGGAACTGCTGCCGCACGTTTAAACTAAACCTCGCTGCCAACAAACTTGTTCCCAGCCGGCCTCCGACAAAAAGAGATCTTGCTGCGTCACGTGTTGTCATCTCCCACCTACATGAGGAACGCCTAAATCGGCAAGGGGTGCTGATCGATGCAAGATTCGTCGTAAAATACAACAACGCCTACCCACGCGAGACAACGAGAGCTGTTCAGGTGCGGGGAAAGGAAGTACAAACGATCGGACCCAACAACCCCTCTCCCTCCCCCTTTCCAATCCCAAAGCGGGATCCAGCCATCAGCGACCCCTCCCTCCGAGATCGATGATGATTCAGCCCGTGTGTGAAACCGCCTCACTGGCAATTCCACGAACACGCCTCTTACGGCGAGCCCCCGCGCCCACGAAATCGCCCTTCTCGCTCTTTATCGTACCACTCATCACCGTTGGTTGAGCAGCTCCCTCTCGAGCCTCTCCTCCCGTACTTCTTTGATGATGTCCTGCAAGTACGGCTGCGAGGGGGGGGTCGTATGGGGGGGGCGTCGACGGGTAGGGGACAGGTTGAGCATACCAACAAATACACACGTTCGACATGTGGGGGTTTGTTTGTAGTTCCAGCCGGTGCAGATCTACTCCATGGAGTAAACATTTATTTTTCGTATAATACGTTCTCCTCTCTACAATTTTTTTGGGCAAACCGACATATTATCTTCATCGTGCTGGTTGAATCGTAGTGTTGGGGGTTCTGCAGCAAGAGGCCGACTTCTCTCCGCTCAGCGTTGTCGTCTCGACATTTTCTTCACACACTGGTGCTGCTGCACCGGTGGGCGACTCTCATGTTGGCTTGCAACCGGAATGTACCGTACCGTAAGCGAGCGCAAAGGTGGTACCCCGCCTAGACCGGTTTTCAAAGTTCGATTGCCCCACAACCAAGATTGCGCCAACGACAAAAATGTTGGCTTTTGGAAACATCTCGTTGCGTAACTCTCTCGGTATCACTATTTTGGGCTCCTTCCGCACCCCCCTTGGTTGTGGAGCAATCGAGCTTTGAAAGTCGCTCTAAGGGGTGGTGGTGCCATCTCTCTGCCTCTTGCAAGGTAAGCACGCACGGAGAGCGTGTACGGAGTGAGGCGGGAGACCGAGGCGTTTGCAACCCCCTTCCTGCAAACTCGACGAACAAACAAACAAAAAAGGGACCCGTCCGTGACAGCATCTCATGTATGCAGCGGACCCTGCCGATTGCCGACGAATGTCTCGTCACCAACTATTATTTTCTTCACCGCTGTTCTGAGGACGAGGACCTGTGGCCCCTCCGAATCAGGAGGACAGGTTAACAGCGACCAACGTATGCATATTCGATCACACACGTTTTATTCCGCTAGGAGAGAGACGTATTTCCGTTGGGCAGACGATCAGCGCGTTCGATGCTAACCAAAGAAAGAAACACGCAAACACAACACCCTGCAAGACTGACGAATTTTCATTGTTCAGCCGGGTACTGCTGTACCACGGTCGATGCCAACTAGAAACAGAGAAATAAGTTAGCACACACTGCGGCTTTGGCTTTTTGTCTTGTTCCTGCGGGAGGCCAGCAGCGGTACCCAACATGTACCAGCTTCGGTCGGCCAAGGACTGGGGTACACCCTCTCTTTGCGCTACTACTTGCTGCTGTGGTTCGGGCGAAGGCATATGGAACTTCCATTTTCACCCCACAAACGGCGTATACCGTAGGTGGCATGACACAAGATACCACACCCCCTGAAGCGATTTTCAAAGCTCGATTACTCCACGACGAAGAGCATGCCGAGTTCAAACGACACGTTTTCGGAAAGCTTTCGACGAGACGGTTCCAACGCCTCCCGCCATTCTCGGCGCCGTCGCTGTCTCTCCTGCCGAGAAATCGAGCCTTGAAAACCGGCCCAGGGGGTGTGATATCTTATGCAACCTACGGTAAAAGAGTGACATGCCTGCCTCTTTTCTCCATTCAAAATCTCTGGCCCTTGGCTACACCCAAATCGTGCTTCCTCAGCTGAAGTATTATGGAGTCGGTGGAATGCCAAAAAAAAAAAACGGTTACAGGTACACCCACCTCGAAGGGGTCCTGTACGGCCTGGATGTGGTCTGGCAGCGGGGTCTTCTTGAGGGAGATGTCGAACGCCCTGAACTGGCGGCGCTTGCGCGCGAGCTGCTGCTCCGGGGTAAGGCGCCGCACGGCCTCGGCCACGTCGGGGTCCTCCTCGATCATGAGGTCGTCAAACTTAAGCCCTGTTACCAGGACAACCAAACAAAACACAGCAAAGCATTTTGTACATGTACGAAGTATCATGTATTTAGTTCCATTCGCCTCCGTACAACAGCAGTAATAGCAGCTTCGCCAATGCCGCCTATCCTTGTCTGACATTGTCGAAATATTTGTTGCGACGTCCGCAGCTGCGGGGCGAGTCACGAAAACGACGGTAGATACTGATACGAAGAGCACGCAAGCGGTACAGCAGCCAGTGTGTATGGCATAAAGAGGTGCGACTACACTAAATACGTTGTTTCACGGAGTCGGCTATTGTGTTGAGAGATAGGGGAGCAGTCGTGTGAGCGCTTGGGAACATATACTAATAGATAGGTACACACGAAAATAGCTTTGCTGGCGTCGAGAGCAGCAGTGGGAACTGCTGCAGCGAATGCACCTACTACACCGGTAGACAGACCGGTAGACACTCCAAGCTCAGGCCCCCCCTCCGAGTTCTGTCGGCATGATTTACGTACAGCGAAGGCATCACACTTGCTGATGATGTCGGTGGTTGCATAGCGAGTTGCCCGACAACGTAATTGGTGGGGTGTAAAGTGCCGATGAGAGAGTGAGCAAGAGAGAGAGAGAGAGAGAGAGAGAGAGAGAGAGAGAGAGAGAGAGAGAGAGAGAGAGAGAGAGAGAGAGAGAGAGAGAGAGAGAAACGGAGAGATACGGCGCGGGTCGGGAACGAACTCCTACGATACCGACGAAGCACACTGCTTGTCTCTCTTGTGGAACCAACCTCTCTGTCCGCTGACGCAAAATGCATTCACACACAAAGGGAGCGCGATATGTAGCCGATACAGTAGCAGCGAAACGAAACGATATCGAGTAGACAAAAAGGGGGAAATTCGGACCGAGAATACCCCCCGCTGTGCAATGCCCCTTTCGCAAACGTGCTCTACAAAAGAGCCCAGGGACCCTGCTCCAAACGAACGTTCTGAAACAGAGAGCAACGCTGTTACCCCATATACAAACGCTGTTTCCCTTCCCCGCACGTACCCACCCAGCAGCAGTCCTGCTGCTTGGGTTTTTCGGGACTCACCGAACGCATTGAGCTTCCTGGTCATGCTCCGCTTGTACTGCGTCGCAGCAACATCCAGCACGAAGTCCCCAGCCTTCTTCAATACTCTAGCCATCGTTCCGTCCGCGTCTCTCTGTCTGCTCTCGCTCCTAGCTGTGCAGCGTGGCGCAATGCATGCCGTCGCGCACAGTGTTGGCGGCTCTGGGGGCGACGCAGACATGGTATCCGGGGAGGTTGGTGGTGTGGGGGGTCCCGGCATCCGGCCCCCCATTGCCCCGCCGTGTGTGTTGTCACTACGCTCTGCGCTCTCTCCGTAGGCGTGAAGCCTTCTCCTTCCTGTTGCCCGGTGATCATGCAGGTGAGGCCATGGACTTGGAACTATTTTGTGCTGTGTCTTCTTCTTGTCGGAGGAAAACTCGAAGACAGAGCAGCAAAAACATGCTAGCCCGGTCGCCTCGGAAGTCAAGGGCACATGTCACTTGTGCGCTTGTTTGCCGATTACACAGCACGTATTACTTTGCGGCAAGCAATCATGCAGGTGGCATCGCGTGCTCCTGCTTACGTTTCTTCGTGCGATTACACGTGCATTACATGCACGAGTGTTGGCATGCTAGTTTCTCATTGTCGAGGCTGGCCTTGTTTCCCTCTCAGATGGATTAATACAACATGTCAACGGGCCCGCTACAACACTGCATGCTGTATTCTTTGTACCCGGTACACGCGCCAACACCAGCTCCAGTGGGGGAGATAACAGATGAAGGGTGAATGTTTTCGACTATCGACAGACTCTGCCACCATAGCACTAGTAGCAGTAGCTCAAAATCTGGTCATGCTGCTCTGGAACCGTTCGAAGTATCGTACTTTGTACATGATTATTAGCGAAGTATCCGTATGGCAGGCATCCGTGATCACTTCAACTCTGCGGCGGTCGGCGTCCAACGCAGTCAAGGGAAGCGACTGGGTACAATCGGCGCTTGGTTGGTTGAGTACACACGATTGGTATCAGCGCTGGTTAAGGTGCATGATGAAAGCCCAGCCTCGCCACCGATGTTCCGGACCGCCACTCTCATGTGCCTATGCCACTTACACAACGACTCTCGCCCCCCCCCCCCTCCCGCTGCATACATCAACCGTTTTGCACCGCCGACCAGCACTTGGCAACGGCTGTGTCGGCAGCCGCGGCGGCGGCGGCATTTTGTCTTTCCCACCATGCCGCCGAAGCCTTCTTCGCTCCAGCATGCCCCGCTCCTCCGGGAGGTTGGGCCGCGCGGCCGCCGCCGCCGCCGTCTCGGTCTTCGGTAGCGACGGCGTCCGCAACAACGGCAGCGTCGACGGAAGACGAGGTCCAGCGGAGGCATTTCTACGGCTACGGGGACCCGGACCACGTGCCCTCCATCTTGCAGAACATCACCGCGCAGCGGTACATTGGTGAGAGGCTTGGCGGGGGGCACTCGTCGTCGAGGCGCTTGGAAGGTTGACCGTGTAGTTTCGCTTTCGAGAGGGAACACCCAACGTCCCTGACAAGAGAGACGCGACAAAGATAACATTTTGCCGCCGCCGCCGCCAGCGTCGTCGCCGCCGAAAAACGTGAAAACGTCCATTTCACTACCGCCAAATCTGCCGTAGGGTGTTACCTGTGTGAACGCCGAAATAGCCATTACCGACATGCGTATCCGTTGGAAATTCCGAAACAGACGTGGCGGAGGCAAAGGCACGCGTCTCGGAGACCGAGCTGAGGAAGCAGATGGATGACTTCGCGGCCATGAACGGCGGCCCGATCGACCTGTTCTATCGGATCACCTCGGTGCGTCCCCCGTGCCCTACCTTTGCTGGTTGTGGCGTGTGTGTGTGTTTTTTTTGCGGCTGCGTGTGGGTAAGTGTAGGATGGTTTTCAAAGAATTCCGCCGCAGCCGCCTCCCTCTCCCTCTCAGTATAAATATCTACCGATTGTGCGTGTTAACGTGTCCGCTCGTTGGACGACGGCTGTTTACACCCTGGCGGGGACCCATCCTTTTCTCTCCCTCTTCCTATCCCTGTCGCGCTTGCTGCAGCGGCGGCCTCATCGTCGAAAATAACCGTACGTGCCTACTTGCTGTTGTCCACCCCCGGTTTGTACATGCGCAATTCGAAGATCAAACGGTCTCTGAGCTCCAGGACCCCCCCCCCCTGCAATTCCGGTGCTTTTTCAACAATATGAGTAGGACCGCTTCTCCTCGAAAACGCAACGGAGGTAATAGTCAAATGGCCAAGGCAAGCACAAATCAGTACCCCCCCCCCCGCCCCCGCCGGAAGGAACGATTGGCCATCGGTGATCGGTCCTTTGGGAACAATGCTCCGTCCTCTCGAGGACGCGTGGTCAATGGTCTAACCGCTAAGGCATGCAAAACATAAGAGTACGCCCCCCCCCGCCCCCGCCCCGGCTCTCTTTTTTACCATTTGCGATGCGAAAAATATCGCCAACAGGAAGAGCCGGAGATGGCGATCGCCGCAGAATTTAAGCGCGCCAGCCCTTCCAAGGGCGACATCGCGGTGGGCCTCAGGGTGAGTAAATTATTGTTCATCCGTCCGGAGTGCGACTGCATCACCAAAGCTTGCGAGGGGGGACCGACCCTCCAAAGCAGCCGCGCTGAAACCAACCGTCGTGCTTTGCTATTTGTAGTACTTTCTAAGGCAGGAACGAGGGTGCGCTGCTGCTTCTTGTGCGCGACTTCGTTTCTCGTTTGTCAGACGGCTTGTGGCAAAGAGCGATACACATCCCAGTCCCACGTGCATCTCGCACCAGAAATGATCAGAGTTAGTCGTAACAAGGGCCCCCACCCCGACATTAAATTTACCGGGTTTTCCCCCGTTTTCCTCCAAAATCCCGCCTTGTGATCTACACCAGTGATGACGAGGCTGTACTTGTTCATTTTTTGTTCGAACAGAAAAACAAGTAAACCAACCAAGAGCACACCCATCGATGATGTATGGTATGAAAATGTCGTCAGGCTGGTGAGCAGGGATATCTGTACGCTTCCGTCGGAGCCGCCGTGTTGTCCGTGTTGACGGAGCCCAAGTGGTTCAAGGGCTCGCTCGCGGACATGAAGGAGGTCCGGGTCGCCACCAACAAGATGCGGGAGGGCAAGGCCGAGAACAGGTACATACCACCAAACTACTAGTATGTTGCAGTACGAAAAAATGGTACCATATACCTGTAGATGGAGGAGACCGCCAGTAAAGGTAGTATACACAAGCAGAGGCGATGAACGGTAGCCCTTTGTCCCTGAGATGTTGATTCAAATCGCGATGGGTGTAAGGATCGCCGTCAAAGGTACCCTATGCCGCAGATCGTTTGACCGATAGAGAGCACGCAAGGAGGTGGAGCGTTTGTTTGTTGTTTTCTTCCTTAATTTTTTGCGTCTTCTTCCTGTCTACTTTTTCTCCCTGATTTTTTTTTTCTGTTGTGCGTTTTTTCTCTGTTCTTACGTCTCTCTTTCATTTATCCGCTTCTGCTTTTTTTTGGTACTCCCCCGACAAGAACACCCACCTAGCACGTGACGTTACGGTAAGCCACTCCAGAGATAAGAGAGAGAAGCTCCTTCGACGATTCTGCCGAAATCGTATGCATCTAGCGACAGAACGCCCGCAAGAGCCAATGGCAGGGATAAGACGAGTCATGCAAGTAGTTTCCCGCGGTTTTTGATGGCGAGAAAGAAACCGTCTCAAGTGCCCTTGTTATTGATGGATCCCC